ACGCCGATTTTAATGTGCTGACGCTTGACGGATGCAACACGTTTCACAAAATGGGTAGCATAATATGTGTAACACCAAAATCTGCTGTGGTCCCTCAAGGAACCATCGCTCGTTTGCAGCAACGACTCACAGCCGATGAGGTATAGCAAGTGTTGTAGCTGATGAATTAGAACCATTTCAACGGACCAACAATGTTGGATTGGCAGCAATCAAGATCAAGGATATCAGTTTACTGTTTCCACAAACCACTCAAGACATGGGTATGCAAGGTCCGTCATTACGGCTCACACAGTCAATCACCTTTTCCCCCTCAATGCAGAGTGACATAGAGGAGATAATTTACGGTGGAGACATCTCAGAACTTCTCACAGTAAGCGACCGACAATGCATCATTGAACTGTAACAACAGTTTGAAGCTGAGGTGCAGCGATTGGCACAGCTTGGACCCACAGCCAAATTATGGTTGCAATAATTGGAAATGGTGACGTTAATAATGAGATTTATCCAATCTAAGAGAATGGGTAACTGGGACCTGCATATAGAAACCATAAACAGCATGATTCCATATTTCCATGCAAGTGGGCATTACTAAGTGCACCCACTTGTACCTCCAGGATATGGGGGATTTGGAAGACATAATGCTACCAGGGGTTCGAATCTCGTCTCGCCTCATTTTTCGTCTTTATCATTCTCGTTCATTTTTCGATTACGTTGAGAGAGTTTGCAGCTTTCACAGCACAAGGAGGCTTCACGATTCGACGAACTGACAAGTTATGGAGTGGCACATGGAGTGACATCGAACAGTGTGGGATCAGTCATGCATGTGCAACTCTTATGGCGCAATTTGTTCCGCTAAAAGCTTGCGACTACAGACGGCAGAGGCGCTGTCGTCCAATACTGTTGTCAGATTTATACATAAAAAGTCCAGATTATTCTTTATTTGCTTTAAAAAGCTTCCAACAATAGGAAAAAAAGTCGTGTACCTCGCTAACATATAATTGCTAGTAGTATGATTTGAAATTACATTTCTTTTTCGAAACATATATCCCATGCTTTTGACATGTGGCAGCATCGCTTCACTTTTACCTATTTTCCGTTTCGTTTGACAGAAAAGACCTATCTATTTTTACCTGGTATGCGCGCGCAACATGAGGCAAGTCTTTTTATTAGCTAACTAGTACAGGTGTGAAGTGTTCGTTTTGCACGCTGGACATCTCCTTGTCCTTGTTCATTGCTCGTGGTCTGACAAAAAAAAAAGTACGGTTGATATTCAACTTGACATTACTTGACAAGTGACACTCAAAAGTAGTTTGAAATATTCATTGATAAATACGTTGCACAACACGCGGTTTTTCTTCTTCTCTTTTTACCCCGTGCAAATAAGGAGGACGGATTGCCATACATAAGTTTAACAAAATTTGGTACATTTTGCCTCGTCTTGCGCAATGAGCGTTCTGTGTTTTTTTTTTATCTAATGAAGTTTTCGTATTATTACTTCTTTGTTTAGTAAAATAGATAGGTCTACTATCAGTATCAAGTGACATTCTGATAAATTATAAGAAAAAAAATAGGCATTGACAACATTGTCTCTTTTTGTTCTATGACGTCATCCTAAATATAACGTAAAAAACCTATAGAAACATATTAAATTGTTCAGTGCTAGTGGAATAAAAAATGATAAACGGATCCTAAAGAAAAAAAAAATTAAATTTAAAAAGAAGCGCTTCCCGCGCTCTCAAGTTGCTGACTACACACGCGAGAGGGCGCTGTAATCAGGAACAAAATGTTTGTATTGAGTTGCCTATCTATATTATAGGTTCGAGAGAGTTTTGTATCCCTTATCTATGGGGTCAGTGATGCTATTTTGTCAAGATGGACATTAGGAATGGCAGCTCAACAAGAAGTTTGCGAAGCTTTGGAAATTATATGTGGTATCACTTTCGCAACATCGGAGCAGTATGTTGATAGCAGAGATTCCCAAATTAAACGAGACAATCAACATAGGAAAATAATGTTGGAGTGGTTGCGCCAACATCCACCCTTTTCAGACACACCAGATCTCTGATATCGATAAGTAATGGATTGGTTGGGAACGAAAACATCAACTGCCATTTGTCCAGGAAAGTTGGGTTACAGGAATGAAGGCCATTGTAGGAACTGATTTTGGGACCGTCAAATTCAAAAGGACTGACAGAATCCTGTCCCTTGACTCAGTTAACAGTGCACTGATTATCGGAAATCAACCTGTTCCCATCAACCCAACCACACTGTTCCAGAGAATTACTATCGCAAAACAGTCAGATGAAGAATTGGAGGAGTATTTGTCCTATGAACTCTATCCATACTCCATACCCATTGGCACTGTTTGATGACTGTGATATGAGAAAGGGTATCAAATCAAATACAAAGCTTTTTAGATTATGTTAGACACGCAAACTCTCTCCAGCAACACAGTATTTGTTATTGACGGAGGTTTTTTGCTACATAGAGTTGTTTGGACAAGAGGAAACTCATTCGCTCGAAATACAAATCAACTGCTGTTGTTGTTTTTGACGGACACGGTGAGGAATATCGAAGCACCAAATACATGGAACGAGGGAGAAGATCTACCAAGAAGCACTCTGTGGAAATAATATTAAATGTCTGCATGGTGCCCACCGTCTCCCAAGATAATTTTCTTGCGAACTCCAAGAACAAAAGTCGCTTAATATCGACCTTGATCACAAAATTCAAAGAGGCCAATATCGCCACAGACCAAGCAGTTGAAGATGCTGATACTCTTATTGTGACAACTGCCAACTCCCTGGCATCACACCACGAAAGTGTAGCAGTCATTGGAGAAGATGTTGACCTCCTAGTGATAATGGTTGGAATTAGTACAGATCCCAATGTGTTCTTTCTGGAGCCAGGGGAAGGGAAAGCACAGCCAACCTTGTACCATCCACCAACCACCATTGACAAGCATGTGATGTGGCTAAACATGTTCTGTTTTTACACGCAGTGAGTGGCTGTGATTCAACATCAGCACTGTACAAGCAGGGCAAAGTGAAATGCCTCAAAGTGATGACAAAAAATCCTGAGTTCAAATTTCATATCACGAGATTGAGGGACCCCAACGCTGATGAGGAGGCACTATTTGAAGCAGAGGAAAAGTTTCTGGTGGCTCTATATGGCGGTGATCACCATGATACCACCTTGGACAAGTTCAGGTACAAACAGTATTTATGTCTGCATACAAAAAAAATCCAACCTCGTTTCAATTCCTTCACCTTCTGCTGCTTGCAGACAGCACTTTCTACGTGTGTTTTACCTGATTCAGCTGTGGCTGGTGATCAGCTTGATGCTAAGCAGTGAGGATGGAAATCGTCTAGAAACGGCCTGATCCCAGTCAAAACACTCCTGCCACCAGCACTTGATAAAGTGTTGAAAAAAATTGCTTGCCATTGCAAAAAGAATTGCATGGGAAACTGTGGCTGCAGGCGAGCAGGATTATTCTGCACAAACATTTGCGCTGTGTAAGGGCAAATGCGCCAACACAGACACTGTCGATTTTGAGGAGCTCGACGATGAAGACACGGACTTTTGTGAAACAGCACTAGTGGAGCCACTACCTACCATACCGCTTTTCTCGTTTTTTCTTTTGCTACATCTTTTTTTTTTCTGTTGCATTGATCTTATCCTAATCCTCTCTGTTTTTTCAGATCCAGAATCGAAAGTTGTGTATACTCCTTCTAAGTGAACTAAAGTTTGATTTTTTATTAAATTTGCACAATTTTTTGTGGCTCCCACAAGGATGAAAAGTTGGCCTCCTATTTCCGCTTTACATTCGTGTATTACATGTAGAAATACACGAAAAAATACACGGATATAATGCGGGCTTAAGGACAACAAAACATCAAAACTGGCAATATTTGAGATTTTTTATAAATTTGTATCATGTTCGGTTGTCTTTACGAGGCTGGGACGTCGATATTAGGATTCAGGACCCAAAGGAAAATGAAGAACCGGTGAGAAAAATGGTAATAGGTTTATGGTTGAGAAAATCCTAAAAATGGGTCAAATTTTGCATTTTTTTTTTAAATTTTCGCCCATTTCCGTCACTTTTATGGGTCGGGCGGGTTGAAATTCGGATTCACCACTGCCAATAATATAAAAAACCAGAAGAAGACCTAATTTATGTATCTCTATATGCATTTTATCTGCAATAAACGCCAAAATGAGCCTAATTTTCACAATTTTGTCAAATTTTAAGGATGATGCGTCACACGTACGGCGCGGCAATGTTGAAATTCGGATTCAGTATCCCAAAAAACATAAAGAACCGTTCAGAAACCTAGCTCCGGAATTTTTTCTTGTCAAAACCACTATTTCACTGGACTAATATAATATATTACATTATATACCAAGACACTTAAGTCAATAATTTAATTCGCAGCGGAAATCGGCTAATTTTATCGTAAGATACTCGAGTCCCTTGGTATGAACGATATTTTTTGTAATTTCGGAAACAACATTCCAAATTATAATGACTCAACATTCAATAATTGATAATGTAAATCGATCTTGAATTCATTGTTTTGTGACTTGACAAAGTACAAAAAGCTTACCACAGGAATCAAATTATACATTTTGCTCCGTTAGGTTAAAATATTCACTTTAGGCTTTCTTTGCGGTGACTAAAATGTACAGTTTCCTCCCGAAATTACAAAAAAATAAATATTTTTCAAAACAGTAAAATTTTTGGGATAGAACACTCAACCAGACTAAACTTTCAAATAATTGCCACCGCTTCGGTCTTTACTTTTAAATCTTCATCACACTCAAAATTAACTTAACTATTTGCTGAGACTCTGTGTTAGATTCTGAACTCGAAAGACCAAGACTTAGACAAATATTATTTGAAAGCTTTGTTTGGACTGTGCTATGCCAACAATTTTTTCCTCTGGATATATCATTGAGGAACCAATCATGCAAGAATATTTCCGAGTTTCAATACTTACTGGGTGAATAACTGCGAGATCTTGAATATCTCCTGCGGCTCCTGCTACTATAATAAGGAGATGGAGAGCGCCTGTGTCTAGAACTCCTGCGATAATCACTAAGATAAAAATAAACATTTTAAATAAAATTCAGAAATATTACACTTTACGGAATATATAGTTAATAATTGTCTCTTTTTCACCAATCCTAAAAAAAAAAACGATTTTTTTTTGCAAAGTGAAAGAGATTATAATTTCCCTGCTTAAACAGAGATACATTACATTTAAACTAATATACTCCAAACAACACAGGTAGTCTTTGAAACTTAATCATTAGAATAATACTTACTCTCTGTCTCTATCTCCTCTACGTCCTCTGCTCTCGTATCTGTCATATTTGCTATTAGTTAAAAACAAAACAAAAATTATTATAAAGATATTATTGTTGAAAAAAAAAAATTGTCCGAAGGATCCTTTAAGCAGCCTCTATGAGCTTTAAGAGACAACTCCTAAATATCTTCTATATTCTGTTCCCAAAAAATTTATATTATTTCATAAATCATAATCGAAATAACATGATAATTATTTTTTGGGTGAATTAAATCAAACAACTACTTACTGAGTGGGTTTTCCCATGTAAATACCAGGAGTCGGAGTGTGAGCCCTTTCAGTAATAGAAAAATCTACTCTTATGCTCTTTTGATTGATTTTCATGCCAGTGCATTTCTCTTTGGCCACTTTAGCGTCGTCGGAGCTTTTGAAATAGACAAAGGCAAAACCTCTGGATCTGGCAGTCTGAAATGAAAAAAACAACAAAACTGAGAATGATATGATTTCAATTCCTAACTACAGCCACATGACTTTGATTTTGTGTGCTTTCATTTTGAAATCTGTTTTCTGTTTCAATGTTTTGTGAAGGATATAAGTGGTTAATAAGCTTCCACAGCATATTGAAAAAGACACAGCAAAAGAAACTAAAAATAAAATAAACAATAATTCTTACCTTAGCATCAATTACAACTTGCACTCTCTCGACCGGCCCGTACTTGTTGAAGATATGATAGAGTTCATCCTCAGTGGTGTAGACGCTCAGACCAAAAACACCAAGACAACGACTGGGTTGGGGGTCCTCGCGTGAGCCAGTGTGTCTCCTACGACTAGATAGGAGAGCGTGAATATGAGCATGAAAAGCTCCACAAATATCTGATTTTACGCCTATTTGAGCGAGAGCAAGTGAAGGGTTAATTATTGGATTTCATAAAATTGTTCACTAAACGGATATCTAAATTTTAAATACTCAAGTGTTTCATCTGTGCTTCAAAAATGGAACTAGAGTGTCATCTAGTCAGTGCTTGAAACTTTGAAACTAGTTATTACAGCCTTGTTTGTATGAATTTTTGTCCCTCAAGTACATGGGGAATAATAATAATAATAATAATAATAAATAGCTATATTTCAAATTATGTTTACATGGAACATGGACACAAAGTGAAACGGCGTCACAAAACAAATGCTGCTTCAATTTTACAAATTACCACAAAAATCTTTTAAACTATAAGGTTCTAATTCCACCAAGTATTTCCTTAGGTGTTTTTTGAATATTCTTGATGCACTTATTGACTTTAATTCTTGAGGCAAGGCATTGAATAACTTCAAACACATGTACTGGGGGCATCTTTCAGTCAGTGTAAGTTTGTGTGTTAGGTACATCACTTCCAATGTTCGTGTTTCATATCTGCTTTGACATTTAATTCCGAAACGCTCCCTGTTTTTAACAAAGAATAATAAACATTCATAAATATACAGTGCATAAACAGTCATTATTCCTAAGTTTTTAAATTCACCTCTACAACTTTCTAAATACTTTTTCCTCTTAACTACTCTTATTACTCGTTTTTGTGCGACAAATACGCTTTGTGCTAAACTATGCCTCCCCCAAAAAATTATCCCATATTTCAACACTGATTCAAAATTTGCCAGGTAAGTTATTCTTAATGTTTTTTCATCCATGTATCTTCCTATTATTCGTATTCCATAACAAATTGAGTTTAATTTTTTCACCGTGCTATTTATATGATATGACCAGTCTAAAAACTCATTAAGGTTTAAAGTCAACCCCCATTTTCTGAACCTTGTGTTCAAAAATTCCAAAAAAAATATATGTTTTATGGTTATTGATATACTCTAATCCATAATTTTTTTAAGCAAATTTGACTCGCCATTTTTGAGATATATCGCAAAAACTGAAAAAAAAAGTGGTTTTTCACCATTTATTTCAAAACGAATAGATGAAGTTTCCCGTTATTTTTATTATGAACTACTATTGCAATTCTACGCGACATAATATGTTATATTTTTTTCAAATTTTTTGAACTTGTAGTTTTCTCGCTACTGCAAGAATAGTTGGAAATACGCCTGTAGCTACACTGTTTAAACAAAAATCCGACGGATGAACGTTCAAAATTATTTGTGTAATAAACTATATGCCTGACTTTAAACCTTAATTAGGCAATTCAATCCATCTGTCAAAACGAAAAATTCAATATGGCGTGGCGGCCAGCAAGTATGTTTTGAATATATGTTTTCATGAATATTTTAATTATTTTGCTTGCAGCTTTGATTTTGATTATTCGATAAAATATTTGTTTACTAGGTACGTAAACTATTAAGTCGGGCAGAAACTAGACATTTTTGTTTTGTTTTTTGGTTCATGTGTGGCCGCCACGACATCTTGAATGTCACGTGGTTTGAATTGCCTAATATAAACTCCCAAGAATTTGACATTATCACAGACTGAAATGTCCAAATTGTCTATTTCAATCGTTTCGGGTTTTATTATTTTTGACTGTTTTGTGCTAAAAACAATAGCATTTGTTTTTTCTTTCTTCAGAACCAGCCTATTCCTATAAAACCACTCTGTGACCAATTCAAAAAGATTTTTGATTTCGAAATTACATCCGCTATTTTTTTACTTTCTGTAATTAGATTTGTATCGTCTGCATATGTTACAATATGTTGAAATGGTTCAGTGATAACAGCAGACAAATCGTTGGCAAAAACAATAAACAGAAGAGGACCCAAAATACTACCCTGTGCTATTCCGATATTGTTTTCCAACATGTTAGACCTTGATGTTTTCCCATTTTTTGTTATACTAACACATTGTTTTCTGTTCTGTAGATATGAAATTAGCCATTTTTTAGCATTACCCCTAATACCATATAATTCCAATTTTCTAATGAGTAACTGTCTGTCTAGACAGTCATAGGCCTTAGATAGATCCAAAAACATGCCGAGCGCCAACTCTCCATTTTCAATGTGATTCATTACATGTTTTAAAAATTCGAAGATCGCCGTTTGTGTAGATCTATATTTTAGAAAGCCGTGTTGACAGTTACTAAAGATGTCACAGTCAGTTAAAAAATCCATTAACCTGATATTCATTGCTTGTTCAAAAAACTTGGAGAACGCGGACAGCAAGCTTATAGGCCTGTAACTATCTAGACTTTCCGGATCACCCTTTTTGTACAATGGTTTAATGACAGCAATCTTTAAGTTATCCGGAAACACTCCAAAAGTAAAAGAATTGTTAATTATATATGACAATATATGTTTTAATGCTGGGGCTGCTATCTTTACAATACTTGTTGGCAGTTCATCTATCCCACTGCTATGCTTGTTCTTCAGTTTATTAGCAATTTCCAGAACTTCATTTGGCGTTACCGGTCTCAAAAAAATTGAACGGGCGTTGTTATTTAAATTGCAAGAAAAGGGGACATCTCGTAAGCTATCCAGAAGTTCTGGAACAACTGATAACAAAAATTCATTGTACCTATTTCCAATATCTTCAGGACTTCCCTCGTCCTTGATTCCTGACAAATTCGAATTTTTTCCCGTTATTTCTTTGCAAATTGCCCACATACATTTAGTCTTATTATCCGACTTTTTTATGCGATTCTCATAGCTTTTTTTTCTAAGTGATATCAATGCTCTATCATAGGATATTTTTTCTTTATTGTATAGTTGTTTAAAGTTTACATCGAATCTCGACAGCATTAATAGCCTGTCTAGTCTGCGTTTACACTCTAATACAGTACTATCTGCGGTAGGCCTTTTTGACGGTTTTTTATTTAAGAGTTTTCGAGGGAAGTTCTGATTAAATAGTCCTAAAACAGTGTTCATGAAATTATCCCATTGTTCATTAACATTACTTTTTTGTATATTATACACTTCTTGCCAGTCCTGCTCATTCAAACTGCTCAGAAAATTAATCTTGTTTTCCTCAGTGAATAATCTAGCATATACAGGGGGATAATTTTCATTTGAAATGATCTCAAGTTCAATTTTCTGTGCAGTATGGTCCGACAAAAAATTCTCAAACACCCCACTTTTAAAAAACTCAGCATTTGTAAAAATATTGTCAATACAGCTTGATGCATTATTTGCTATTCTGGTATTTTCAAAAATAGTTTGGTTTACATTGAAAGAATTTAATATAGACAGTAGCTCCGTTTTTGTGTTATTGTCCTTCAAAAGTTCTATTTTTTTTTTTTTTTACGGATATGCGCACTCGCAAGGAAATGTCCTATCACGCTCGAGAAGCGGCAAACGGTTCAGGTTGTAACCTGCAGGGAAAACCGTCGCAGGGAGTTTATTCCACAGCGATGCTGTTCTCCAGAGATATGAATTCTGATATAATGAGGTTCTTGGTGCCTCTAGTTTGACAGTAAATTCATGGTTACCGTCTGTTTGACGGGTTCGCCTGGTAGGCGCTACTCTCGGAGGAATCATACGTGCCAACTCTTCAGAGCATTTTCCGTGATAGTACCTGTAGAAGAGAGATAAATCGCCCACAGATCTGCGATGTTCGAGACCATCCAAGTTACGAGTAAGTGCGGGGTCATTGATCAGCTTGATAGCTCGTTTTTGCACGGTGTTCAAAAGCATTAAGGTATGTTTGGGTGCTGCACTCCATATATGTGAGCAGTACTCCATAGTTGGTCGAATCTGGGCTTTGTAGAGTGTCAGCAATTGGCTTGGTGTGTACAGATGTCTTGTACGAAATAGCACCCCCAGCTTTTGGGACGCCCTTTTAGCAATATCTGCCACGTGACTGTGCCAAGACAGACGCGTTGAACTGTACAAGGTTTTTGTTACCCCAGTCCTTTATTATCTCCAGGTCGTTATTTATCTGCGATATTTGAGTTAGTCTAAGATGATGGAATTCATGTGCGGAAAGACCTGTGGGTGGTATGAGTGAGGAGACTACATTGCCATCGTCTGCAAAGCAATAAAGTGGATTTACTGTTTTATCTATGAGGACATTTATGTAAATCAGAAAATAGTTGGCGAAAGGATTGCTCCCTGTGACACACCAGCATTTCTTTGGTAAGAGTTGGAGTTCTGGCCATCCAGTGCAACATAAATGGATCTGTCCTTTAAGCAGCGTTTTCCTAGCAACGCACATTTTACGCGGCGTAGAACGTAATTCGGTCGGCGTAAAACGCTGAGGACATGTCTAATGAAAATCAAATGGAGGTGTTTTCCTACACCGCGTAAAAACGACTTGCGCTAGCGTAATACGGTCGACGCAACTGAACGACTGCTCGGAGAGCAGTCTATTCAGTTGTACGCTGCGTGTTGGCGAAGAAAGTGCTCCTGTTGTATTATATTTACATACCTCAATGTTAGGCCAAGCTTTTCAGGTGGCGAAATAGGATGTCGCACGCGATTACCATGATTCCTTACTTAAATCTTTTCTCACAAGATTGAGGAGAAATGAGATTTGCTGCCTTGTAACTATAAAATATGCTTTTCAAATTTTACTTCGTCGTCGAGATGTTTATGGATAAGTATCTCTAAATGCTCCTTCGCTTCTTCTTTTTTGAAATAATTGACTAGCAGAATTTCTAGTCCTATCATAAATCGTAACTATTATATCAATCTCTTCTTGCAAATTTTCATCTTGTAATAATAGGGCTGTTTCTGCAGAAATAATAAACCAGTCAGAGTGAATTTCATTGGTTGAAACTAGTTTTCTGACTGTTTCTGATTCTTTTCAACCAATGAAATTCGCTCTGACTGGTTTGTGATTTCTGCAGAAGCAGACATAATAATAAAGCCTCGAATAAAGCCAAAGCTAATTTCTCGAGTAATTTCTTTATTGATATACTCATCGCGACGATCGGGACGCAACTGACAATCCTAGGAAAACA